GGCTATTCAAACTGATAAACATTGTCTTTGTACTGTTTTAAGATGACTATTGTAGATATTCTTAATCTTTTTTTTTCTTCATACCTTTTTCATGAAGAAATAGGTTATAATCACTAAATCCATGTGACTTATTTCTTTAGTTTCCAGTTTGGAAAACCGAACAGGAACCTTTTGTTATGAAAGGCTCAATTACCTCAAGTTATTACATGATCTGTTGAGACAGGATAGTTTACATTGTTAGACTAACAAAGAGCCATTTTAGTTTTCTATTGGTTTCGATTGCTTTCTTATAAATACTGTATATATTGGTCTTCACCTATGTTACCTGGGTACTAAGTTGCATAGAAACACGTATGGGTACTGGTATGGGTGCAGGTGCGGGTTCGAGACACAATAAATTTGTAAAATGTAGGGTATGAGGACACGACTGCATATGTATTGACATTAATAATCTTACATGAGATCACTATTATTTTCAATTTGTGTATTATTAGAATTAAAATTCTCATCACATTTTAAGGTTCTTTTATTATGTTGATTATTATAAATTGGAAGCGACTCATTTTTGAACTGGACACTGACACTCTAGACGATCCTTTTAAATCCTAGTATTGACCTTGAATATAGGCTGAAACAAATCCTACCCACTATCTAATGAGTTGCAAAAATGGATATGAAGTATAGGATATATGTCCAAGAAGTGTATGACAAGTGTTTTAAATGAAAACGTATATCATATAATCGTGTACACATCTGAATAAACATATGCATATATCCAAGAAGTGTCCATGAAGTTTGGGTATGAGAATGTGTCGGGTACGGGTATGGCTTCATGATAAAAGTACCCAAGTAACATAGCCTGGGTGTACTTCTGATAGGGTATGCTTACCAAGCACCAAATTCGGTGCTTAGTAGTGAGGTGACAACTTCTTATCCACTCATTCAATTATTCAATCCATGTGCACCCATGTGAATGTGGCCCCCCCTTGAAACAAGTGGATGAGAATGAGCCACATCACTTCGAAGCATTACCAACACCAAATTCGGTGCTTGGTAGTGAGGTGACAACTTTTGATCCACTGATTCAGTTATTCAGCCCATGTGTAGCCATGCGAATGTGGTCCCTCCTTAAACAAATGGATGAGAATGAGCCATCTCACTACGAAGCATTATATATATATATATGTGTGTGTACACACACACATATATATATGTGTGTGTGTGTACACACAGGTAAATGAAAATAATTCTCATTCCCAAATGAGCGTTATATACATACTTTATACCCAGGCATACCTGGACAATACAATCAATCCTCAAGAACACTATAGTATATAGCTCATTACTTGCAAATTCTCAATCCAAAATCTGAAGTGAGGTGAAATATCAAAACTACACGCTCTAACTATTGCATCAACTTTAATATTTCTCACATCCTGATGAGAGACTGCTGCTGCAAAAGAGGCACGAAGCGCTTTCTTTTTGACTGCATTTCCCCTGTTTTGTTTCTGAAACCACTCGAGCTTACTCAACATTATTGGATCTCTCAGTTGTCCCATCCTCACTAGAATTTTCTTCCATATCAGATCAGAGTATGGGCTCAAGAAAACAAGTGCCCAACATCTTCACCAGTTTGGCTACAAAAGACACAAGCACTTGTATGCAAGACACCAAAATGCATCAATCTCTCTTGAGTTAACAACCTCCCCGTTACAGCTAACCACAACAAATACATGTCTTGGAATAGAGAAACCACTCCAAACTGTACTACACCAATTAATCTTTGGTGAGGAACAGAAAATTTCTCTATAAGCACAAGATAAGCTAATGCTTTCATTTCATTGCTAACTCCTTATGCTGCATATCACACGTTTTTCAGTATATTATCTCTCAAGCAGCCAATCTCTTACCCTTAAAAGTCTGCTCCAAAATCAATAATCAACACCTCTAGCTTGAATTCTCTAAATAGAGTGATGCTTTAAATAATGGCTATGGAGCCATTTAATCCACATAATATCTTTCTTGAGATGTATTGCCATAGCAATTTGATCACGGATACAAGATGTCAATTACCAGAATGTACAAGTTCTAATCTACCTTGAGATTTCAACAAACACATTTTATCCCATGAAACCTAGTGAAACTTATGTGTACCTTCCATAGTTACCCAAATGAATCTGCTACAATGACTGTCAATTAACTTGAGAGTCTTCTTTGGTAGCATATATACTCCAGTCCAATATACATGCATACCAAAAAGCACTGATCTCACAAGCTCCACACTCCCTACACAAGAAAGCTTGTATGATCCCCACACCTTTAATTTGGCTTCAATCTTATTCAATAGCCCCTGAAAATTGCCATGAGTTGCCCTGACATTAGACAAAGGAACCCCAAGAAACTTGACAGGCAAACTACCCTCAACAAAATCAACTGCATTCAACGATTGAGCTCTCATGTTTTCATTAACTCCTGCAATATACATGTTGCTTTTGTTCATATTCACTGCTGATAGAGTCATTGTTGTTGCTAAAGCGGAAATTGGAGCGGTTTTCTAGACAGCATATATTTATTCAGACATATACTCATTTATACAATGCATGTTTCATTTAAAACACTCATCACAGATTTCTTGGACATATATTGTACACATTCAGTTTTGTAAATTGTCAGATAAAGTCGAGTTCGTTTACATAAATAGCTCAAAATTATGATTATAACCCATGAGTTTTAGCCCTGTCCTCGTACCCTATCTTTTACAAATTTGTCGTGTCTTGTACCTGCACCCGTACCCATACCGACATTCGCACCCGTACACGTGCAACTAAGGTCTTCACTAGCTACATTATGTTCAGTTGTTCACTGAGGAAACATAGTCTAAAATTTATAGTACAACTACAAATGCTTTCTTAGTTATGAACTCTATAAATATAGAGGCCACAACGTTTGATACAATATTAGTAGGCCCACCAATGATGCTAGAATGTTATAGCAAATATTCTAAGGAATACCCCTTCATGTTAGTTTATCTTGAAGATCAGCCTGTGACGTAAATAATTTTGTCATTTATTCCTGATGCTTCTAATTTGCAAGTGAAGTTCTTAAACAGTAGGTTGATATTCATAATTTGATCGAGGTCATAATTAAGGCTTGCATGGATTTTTAGTAGGCAACAGGGTTTTTAATATCGAATATCGGGGAAATATCGAATGACTATAATTCATATCGAATTGTGGATATTGGAGAAATATTAAGGATATGTGGTAAATACTGGAATGCCATAACAGATAGTTGCATATATAGTATAATCATTATAATGCACTATGGGCCTGTGTGCATAAGGAGACCTTGTGCCCTGCGTTGCGCCTCGCGCCTCGCGCCTCAATAAGGCTGAAGACAAGTATTTTAAATTAACATATATATCCAAGGAGTGTCCGTGAAGTTTGGGTACGAGTGTTCATGAAGTTTGGGTACGGGAATGTGTCGGATTCATGTCGGATACGGGTACAGCTTCGTGATAGAAGTACCCGGGTAACGTGGGCTCTCATGTATCTCAGTAGTGTCATAATAAATACCATTGATCAGATTATTTTTCAAGAAACTGGGGACATCCAAGTGATATGAATAGATTTGTCCATTGATAGATATTTGTTGGAGTCAGTGACATAGAATCATAAATTTCTACTCACACCGTTATGTAGAGATAAATAATGAAGTCAATCCTAAATTAGCTATACATCTTATCGCATTTGTTATGATGTTTTCTTAGATATGAACTATCTTCATATTTATACACTTATATTGTTTGTTTGCATTCTAGATGTAGATTTCATTTTAGTCAAACAAAATTTAAATTAATTGCTCGTGGTTGAGGTTTAATCAGATCATTCAGTGGCTATTGTATGGGAGAAACAAAACCACCAAGTTTTGGGCTGAGGAACAGTGAGATTCCCATTGGTTGATTCATGGGAAACAAGAACACCACAATGGTTGGCCTTCTTTCTATTTACAGAAACACACTGAACTTTGTGTTATGATTATGATACATGTCGGTGATAATTAGCGATAGAAGGCATTTCCACCTAAATGATAGTGTACTCCCTTGAGAATTGAGTTTATCTCAGTGCAGCAATGTCATTGAAAAGAACCAGTATATGTCCAATGGTTACGCATCCACTTGAGCACATCTGTATTCTTGTATAGATATAGATTGACCTATATTCAAAGACATCATACAACTATGCACGAAGTGCTTGTGTTCTGCAGAACTTGCAGTACCATAACTGAAAATATAATTCAATTTATGCACTTTGCATGCCCCCATAGAATTGAACGAGGGGATACCATAAGTCGAAGTAGGCGTACTCTGCCTTTGAAATGCTATAAAAATAGTATGTTAGATGACATTGCAAGCAAACCATCTGATAGTGAGCTGTCCATAAAAATTTATATTGATGTTCCGGGGCAAGTATGTGTCATGTATTCATAATCACAAGGTTAAGCTTTGAGCATCGGGAACTTTCAGTGATCTTCTAAGAATAGGAAGAGGACGATAAACTTGGAAGCTGTACTATAGATAAGTCTTCTTCAAAAATTGTGTTAAGTAAATATAGTACACCCAAACTGCATCTCCCACATGTTTCATGCTTTCAAGCACCTTGAGATAGACTTTGCTTGTATATCCTTGTTATTTTTCTTGTGATTATGCTGAAAGATTTATTTTCCATGCAAACAAAGCTTGTAGAGCTTGTTCATCTTATCATTGAAGATATATTCCACCAAAATTGTAAGCAAATTACTTTACTGCAGCATTGTCTATGGAAGCTGAAAGTTTTTAACCATACACAGGCAATCTTAGCAATGCTATTTTGGTATGCACACATTTTTTATTTCTTTAAACTTAAAAAAAAAACAAAGACAGATAAATCTTATTAAGTATATGCACATTGTTGCATTAGATTCTGCAGTTCTTTAATCTTAGAAGTTTTTGGTTTTTCCAGGTCACCAGCGGTGGTTTCATGGTAGCATTCGCTGGAAGGAAGTATGCAGCAAGATCTCTCCCTGCCTTTGTTGGTAACAGTTCTTACTCCGTCACGAGCTTTACTCTGGTAAGTCGAAGATCTCTTATCTGCAAAAAGAAAACTTGAAATTTCACAAAAACCCCAAACTCTGGGGTATTCGGCCCGAGACATCATTAGACTTCTATAAATTAGAGAAAACCCTCCTAAACATTCAAATTTATAAAAAATCACCCTGGACTATAGGAAATTGTGATAAACGGTGATAGCATGAAGGGCAAATGGTATAAGCTTTATGAACCTACAGTCTTACACCTAATCCAGAAAACTATTCAGTAAATTTAGAAAATACAGAGGGACAAAATTGCCTAAGACATGTGACATGTGAAGCACGTGATACCTTAAACTGAAGACATAAATCATGCTACTTCGAGAGGAGCTCTAGAGATCTTTTCCAAATTATAACGTTCATTAAGATTTTGTGCAAAACACCCAAAGTTTTAAGGGGGCTGTTTGAAATTTATCCTGAAAAGCATCGAAATGATTCCTAATCTCTTCATCGCCTCTTTTTCTGCTCATCCAAGGTACTCGAGTTCCACAAGGGCACTCTTCAAAACTTATACTGGAAGCGAGATGGCTGTGCTACTTGTTCTGGGAAATCGAACTTCGTCTGTCTCAATAAACAGAACTGTGCCATCAAAACCCCCAGCTGTAAAGGCCAGGGCGGATCAGTAGACTGCAGCATTGGAATCCAGACGGCTTTCTCGGGTACAGACAAACATGATGTAGCTCTCAACTCATGGTATGAGGTATCAAACCTGAGGCAGTACTCTCTCTTTGGTTTATATTCAAACCTCAAGGATTCTCTTACTAGCCAGTACAACAAATTCTTCTAATCTAGGCGTTTCCACGTCACCATGTTGTATACACTGTTAACGACCTTACCTGTTTTATGAACGCTTTCACTCATTCCTCTTGCTTTCGTGAGTTGTAAAAATTTGATCAGCACCCGACAGACAAATATTATTCATATTAATTTATTGGTCTTGTTAGTTCTATCTACCAAACACCTGCCTGCAGTTCACTTTCAACTAGAATTATTCATTATGTTCTGCTTTAGCTTGGGGAGTTGTTGGTGAGCTGTTGATTGACCCAGTCATTGACAGATGAGAACGTTGCAATAACAGTCTAGAGGAAGACTAATGTATTCTTATAATATTTTGATGGTGAAATATCATTGATGTGCTCTGATAGTAGGCACGTATATGTATGTGTTGTAAGGTTTTATTCTTTCCTATGTTTGGGAGAGCTGAGTTGCCGTTTGGTTTCCAATTGTCTCTCCTGGGAACCATATAAAAAGTTTCCGATTATTTTCTCTCCTCTCTTTTTTGCATAATTTTCTCTTCGATTTTGGAGCTATTGTAGTAAAGGTGAAGTGAAGAATGACTGAAGACCACTCAAGCTCATGGATATTTGCGCGTATGATGCTTCGAAAGCTGAGTTAGCCTCCGCACATATTATTCTAGCAAAAATAAAGCAGTTGCCTTAGCATGATTGGATTGGTACAAATTAATGGTTAACTTTTTGTTTTAAGGGTTTGCTTTAATGCTGTTCTTGTTGGATGATTTTGTCCAGCCCTCTCCAGTTGAACCCCCCTTTTTTCACTTACTTTAGTAATAATTGCAAATGCATGAGCTTTTTGTTTCAGATCTGATAAGAATCCAATACCTTAGAGCATCTCCAACAGCTTCCCCATCTTCTTGGTATTCTAAAATTTGGAGAATTTTGAGCTTTTTTTTGGTCCAACAGATTCCCCATCTCATTCCCCAAAATGGGGATAGGAGAGAAAAAATAGAGAGCCTTCCCCAAATCTACAGCATTCTGCAAATATTTGGGGAAGCACTTTTTCACGTTCTTCTAGACTCAACCCACAAAAAACAACTCCATCTCCTCATTATAATAATAAATAATTTGGTCAAAATGGGGATTCTTCAAAATAATAAATAATTTATTATTTATTAGTTAAAGATGTAGAATATTTTTATTATTGTAATAAATGCATGATTCTTCAAAATGAGGAAGCTGTTGGAGTTGGAGCAAAAATAATTTGGAGAATATGACATTTGATTCCCCATTTTGGAGAAATTTTTGGGGAAGCTGTTGGAGATGCTCTTAGAAACTTCATGTTAAGATGATCCAATACCTTACTGTTATCCCTCAACCTGTAATCTATAAACCTTCAAATAGGATAGTGTTAAGACAACAAAGATAAATATTAACACAACAGGTACAAGACCTACAAACAGAATTTACAGCTTCACAGTAAGCAAATGAACTTTTTGATACTAACAAAAAAAATTTTAAATTATTATTCAGATGATGATGAGTTGTCAATTGAAATTAGTGAATACGATTACCCTTCGTCATTAATACAATGCAACATGGAGAATCTTCATATGATAATGAACTACCATCTATAATTTTTTGCTAAAGGAGGTAGATGCTTGATTGAGTGCTACTACAGGTTCCCGCTGTATTCTAAGCACTCTACTGCGTGGTTTCATCTCAATTCCTTTAAGATTGATGCTTAATTTGCTACATCTCACATATATGAGGGTCATCGAGAGCGGCAAAGTTATCCATGTGAATATTGATACCTAAGTTTTTCTTTTTTTTTTGATTGCTAGGTTGGATTTATGTCCTCCTATTAAAGCATCTAATGGAGTAGAGTTAATTCTTTCCTCCATACGGAGTACCATAACAGGAGCATTAATACCGAACTAGAATTGTCTAGTAATTTTGACTTGTACAAGCCCATGATGAAGATATTTCATATCTTTATATTTTTCCTTTAATTTATTTATTTTTCTTTGATTTAGGAGTGGAATGCTTTTAAAGTTACCTTCTCATTTAAAAGATGAAGATATTTATCTTTTAAATGTTTCCATTGACACGATAAAAAATATAGTAATATTTATTGAGGAATTTGGTATTAAAAATATCCATTTTCATATTAAAATCGTTTTATGAGGTTTAGGAATGGTTGGCTTTAGCCTTTCTATATCCTCATATGAATCTGAGAATCTTTCTCCCTGCAGGTCATGCATTTAACTGTTAGGATCTTCATATATTTTATATCTTGATATATTATCCTCATCCTTTTCATCATGTAACTATTAGGATCTTCATAATCCTCTTCACTTTCTATTGTAATATAAGTTTTGAGAATCTCTTTGGATTTGGTTTATCTCTATAAGCTCCAATCCATATTTGCATTTGTCTTCATCTATAATTATTTTATTTGTAATTTTCTCTTTAGGATATTTATTTGCATGGTGGCTAACTTCTTGACATATAAACATTTGCTTTTTTTTTTTTTGAAATTCGGGTTTAATAGTGTATTTAGATTTTCTTTCTTGAGATTTTCCATTTTGTGAATTTTTTCGTTGAGAAAATTTTCTCTTTCTAAATTTACATGGCTTTTAAAATTCCCTTTTATAGTATTTTCCCCCTTCGGTTGTTTACAACCATACTCTAAAGTGTATCCTTATATTTTGTCATAACAGGATTGCCCAACCTTACTATCTTTAAGTCGCAGTTTGCTTATAGGCCTTTGATAGCTAGCAATATTGTTCTAGTTCTCTTAATGTAAAGAGTTGGATAGCTCACTAGATCTATCACTTTTTCAGAATTTTCTTTAGGTTTGCATCTTCTAAAAGTGAACAATATTTATTATCTGGAACCTTATTTATCTCGTCACTTTGCCCAGCAATTCGGCAATGATCAGATGTACATCGGTAGCCCTAACTCAAAATTGAGACATGAGGGGAGTTTGGTTAATGGTGCCAGTGCATGTCATCACTTCATATCAGCATCGTAGTTTCGTTTACTCTTTCGAGGCAAATGTCTCACATCATCACCTCATATCTAGATTTCAATTGGTATAGCATGGTGAGAGTGCCGGACCTAAACTATGGGAAGTCAGCAGAGATAGTTGCTACAAGGAATTGAAGGACTACTAATGGGCAAGTCAGCAGAGTGTTCATAGACGCACACTGGGTGGGCATGAAGAAGGAGGCCACCAATTCGTGGCTGACTTGATTGATGCCTTCTACCATCGTAGGAGCTAGGCGGTGTCTCACGATTGAGGTCAAGAGGACCTCCTTTGAACAAAGGACTTGCTTCGCATCTTAGACGGTTGCTTGAGCAGCTTTGAGGTCGCATCCTACTCTGAAGTAGTGATCGCTACACTTGGGGACATTCAAGATGAGTTTGTAGCTTATGCGGTAGTATATCATGATCTAACTTTGGTTATAATGTTTATTAATGAAACATTTGTGTTTGTTGTGGCATAACAGTTGTTTGTTTATTGTTTCTTACAATATTTGATCAGATATTTCATCGGATTCAAACTTTTTACAACAAAAAACCCCCGGGTCAGACAAAAGAAAAAAAAAAAAAAAAAAACATCCCTTTAATTCACAAATTTGACAAAATACCTAACACCTAAAGGGTTCCTGTAGCACAGACGATCATGGGTAGTGCTTATTCAAGTGTTGGCTAATGATCGGGAACAATTGTAAATTTTCCTTCTCATCGACGAGACAATAGGCGTTGTTCGAATAGACTAACTCTACTATGATGATCCTTATCCTTTCTCATTGAATTTCCTTCATGAACTATGCTTTGGGAATAATGATTCTTTGCACGGTCAGGATCCTATCTCCCTTCTGGAATAGCCTTTTCTTGACATTTTTATTGGATGCTCTGGAAAGTTATGCTTGGTAAAGCTCAATGTGTTGCTGAGCGGCCAGGCACTTTTCATCTAAGGCTTCCAATTCTTGAAGGCGGAGGTCAACATTATCCTCGAAAGTCATTTACATCATCAAGGCAGTGTGAGGTGATGTAATTTAGAGTTCTAATGGGACAACGGCCTCACATCCATAGACCAAAGAGAATAGAGTGTTTCCCACTAGGTTTAGTATTGTGGTACGGTAGGCCCACAGACATTCACCAAACTTTTCATTCCAATAACGCTTGTTCTCCGTGAAAAACTTCTTCATTATTTGATGATGATCTTGTTGAAAGCTTCAACCAATCTCTTAGCTATGGAATTGTATGGTCTAGAGGCCACACCTTCGATTAGGAATCTGATGCAAAATTATCCATATGCATGACTAATGAAATGAGGACCATTGTTATGGACCATCCATTTTGTTACGCCAAAATGGTGTATGACATGGTGTCCGAGGAAATTGACCATGTTCTTAGTCTTGATCTCCTTCATTGGCACTACTTTAGACCATTTTTGAGAAGTCAGTTATGGCTAAGATGAGATGAACTAATATTCTCTGGTAAATAGTAGGCTGATTGGACCAATAATATACATTCCTCATGTCTCAAATGGCCATGAGTACACGATTAGATGTGGATATTCTAGGGCTTGATGGATGAAGTTGGCATGATGTCGATAAACAGGGCATCGCTTTGTGTGTTCCACCACGTCAGTGACCATCGTTGGCTTGTCGACTCATCTCCTCTTGACCTTTTGGGCTTTGTGAAATTCCTTTAAGCTTCAAGAAGAGGTCTTTTGGGATTCTTTAATCTTTTATTCAATAATTCTTTATTTCCTGCAAATTCATAAAATACACAATATTAGCATGTATACTTATGCGATAAAATAGATAATAAGAGTGCAACAGTGCAATAAAATATAGTGTTTAGTGATTGCAGGTAGACTGTTAACTTCCAACCGTTAAGAGGAGAACACGGATGCTTCGTCCTCACGTAGCTCTGAAAACTAGTGATCGATTCCGAGCTCTTCACCACTTTTCGGGCGGGCTATCTTCTTTTCCTTCGCACTAACCGCTCACAGATTTTGATTCCAGATGGTGTAAGGGTGGCCTTGGTTTATTCATTCATTTTAGCCCTCTGACGAGCCCTTCTTGTCACACATCATGAAGTTACAACATGCTATTTTTCATCTTAAAGCACAGAAGGGATTGTTCGTGACAACTGTTTGTTAATGCCCCAAAATTAGTGGACTAAGTGGTTAGTTGTTAGTGCC